CTTGGGACAACTCCAGGACTTGTGGTGCAGGACTTACCACAGTCATTGCTGTGTCGTTGTTTTTTTACACCACAGACCCATATTAAAAAAAGCTTAAAAATAGAGCTGGTGGGTGATATAGTCACAACCTTACAAAACAAGTAATCCACCAAGACTTATACGTGACTAAACTAAACACAATCTCGGTAAGAGAATACTCTCTCATGGTTTTCATTAGGTAAACTAAGGCATACACACACACACCAGGCAATAAGACCATCCATAAGTCCCATGAAATATGTATATATTTTTTTTTGCTTTGTAGGTTGCAAAAGACACACTTGGTTTCTAGAACTATATATTCAAAAGAAGACGGAAAAAGTTAAATAAATAATAAATAACAAGTGAGGCTAGAGAGACAAGTACAGGTTAGAGGGGATACTGTCGAGCTAGACCAGCAGGATAACAGGCTGACTGTTGACTTTCTCACCTGGCCAATCCAAGGCTCCTGTTGCCAGACAAACCAAACAAACACACAATCAATATAGTTAGAAAAGGTAACAATGAACGCACTAATATCCCAACTGGTTGACTTGTCCCTGCTTTGAGTTTACAAAAGAGTTTTAAATTGTTTAGTAAAGGAAACCCAACCAACAAAAAAAATTGTGAATTAATTCCTTCTCTTTCTTTTTAAAAGGTTTTCTCCTCTTTTGGTTAGTGAGACAATTCCTGCACACACAAATGAAGCTAGGCTAGATTAGGACTGCTTCCTCCTCCTCCTGCTTCTCCTTTCTCAGCGAGCCACAGACCTTTTGTGGTGGGTCCTTCGGTGTGGGGTGTGGTCGCGAGCATGTGGGTGGAAGTCTCCCTCTGTGGGGGGTGTGGAGCCGCCCGGAGACACCCCCCCTGCACTGGGCTCCATCCTCACCAGCCGTCCTCCATCCTGGAAGCTCACATAACTTCCATCCTGTACAGAGTACTAGGGGGAGGGAAGAAATTGTACCATTATTGAACTAGTGGAATCAAGGAAGGAATCATTAATTTCATTACCCAAAACTGTGCTTATATGCACTGTCAGTATATGATCTGCAAAATGAATATTATATTTTTGTATAGCCGACATTTTATACCTTCTTTAAACACACCAAGTATTATCAAATGAACTAATAGTTGACAGGCTGCATTATATACAGGAGACAAGCAATACTCCAAAAGAACAAAGAATATAACAGCTATTTTCATCATCATTTAGGTCTTAGAAGATACACACCTGATCTTCCCTCTTGCTAGCAGGTTCTACATTCATATCTACATCATCCACAGCTGTATCTACTGACGATAACCTTAGTACTGCCAGTGGTTTTCTGTTCTTATTATCCTCGTTTCCAGCTCCTCTGTAATTCAAGAATAATGGTGTATGGGTTTCTGTGGCAGATGTACAAGTTCACTTTGTTTACAGAAAACAAGCAGGAGCATTAGGAAGTTATTTGTTTGTTTTCTTTTCTAAGTGAGGAGAAAAAAATCAACTGAGCCTACAGTATGTCTGAACCTCAAGTATCCAATTTCATGAACTCAGAATGATTTCATGATAAAATCATCGTTTTTAGAAAACATCTAACTCCAAATTCAAATTCATAATAAAGTTTAGATAAAATAAACCTTTTTAAAAAAATGCCAATAATTTAAATTTTATAAACTCACATTAAAAAGAAAAAAAAACATGTCAAACACACACATTTTAGAATGCAAACATTACCTTGGCGTGGTGTGGCCTTGTCTGGAGGCCATGACCGCATCTCCATCCCAATCGGTAGAACACTCGAGGCGACCCTCCTTCTCCTTCTCCCCACCTCCTTCTCCTTCTTTCTCACAGGTGAATTCTTCCACCTGTGTCCAGAGAAAAGGCACTAATAAATAAAACACATAACATAATAACTTACAACAGTTAGTAGGGAACACCTATGATTAACATGTGTTTAGCTGTTTGTTCTCTGTGATGCATAACATGTAGACCTGTTTGCTGGGAAGAGTAAGAAAATAATGTGAGGTTAGAGTGATAGTTTGTAACGAGTATTATAAAAATACTGTTGACTGCAAGGTAGGCAGAATGAAGTGCATTAAATAAGAAAAAAATTGATGGGATAGTATATGTTTAAGTAGAGTGAAAAATAAAAATTATTAAGTATCAAGTTCTCAGGTGGCTGTATGTACAGTGCACTGTTGCTTCTGTGTGAGTTGCAAGTTATAGTATTTCATTGGCAATGCAAGGCGATGCAATGTATCAGGCCTAGAATGTAATTTCAATAACTATGCAGTATTCTACAGTGAAACAGTGTAATGACAATATATATGATAAATTATTATGATAAGTCACACCTAGAGTGCCACAGTGAAAAATAACCAGTCAATGAGTATTAACACCAGCTGTGATGCAATTAAACATAGTCATACTAGGTGCATTTACTATTCAATGTGTTACCTAAAACTTTCTCCTTATAACAGTCTAAAGAATCATCATTTTGTAGATGCAGTTTGCCAGTAAACATGCAACAATCAGAGCAATATAGCTCATAAATTTAATACTACTCTAGCTTGTATAATTACCTTGCAATCTGACTACTAATATATTCATCAAAAGATATATCATCCAATCATAATGATATATAATATTCTAAAATACAGGTCACCATAAAGTAACTACATTGTCCTTATATCAAACCACACTCATTTTGACTCGTAAACGTCTTTATTTCAGTTGAAGAGAGAATAATTGTGGCAGTCATGCTCAATAAATTCTCATGATTCATGTTTTACCTCAAAACAATCATTTCAGAAGAGAAGAAAAGTTAGAGCGTATCTATGTAGTGTGAATGTGTCTACATACACTTATATGTAAGTCAACAATGGGATGTATTGTGTTAGATTCATCAACAGCTTATTCATGACTAAATCACAACTTGCTTGATTCATCACAACTTGTGCATGACTTGTCACAACTTTTCGTAACTTGTGCCAGATTCATTACAATTCACACATGACTCATCACTACTTAACCACTCTTCCTAATGACCTGTGCATGATTCATTCATTCACACCTCATCACAACCTGTGCATGATTGCAGTTTACTCCCAATGCATCACAGTCTGTGCATGTACTGTGCCTACAATACCTATGTGGATAATTGCCAACATAATCATTTTTACCTAAACTAAAGGATTTGAATAATCATGATCTCACCAAATGTTCCTTCTTTGCTGTGATATACATGTGCTAAAAATGCATGAGGATTATGTAGAAGGTTGTGTAATTTAGCCTTTTTGTGTTGGCAAAAAAAAAAAAAAAAAAAAAAAAAAAACTTTTGTGATTTGAACTTTCATTTCCTTAGAGTCTCATGATTTTGTTGTATTAAAAAAATCCTGTAAATTAGTTAATTTCTCTATTGACAGTGAGTTTATAAATAATGTTGGTGGTCATAATGATGCTGGTGATGGTGATGGTGTTGGTGTGGTGGTTTGATGATGACAATAATAATGCCAATTATGATAATGATGATGATGGTGATGACAATTAGATAATAATAAAATGCAATGATAACAATGACAATAATGTAAGTCATAATAATAATAATAATAATAATAATAATAATAACAATAATAATAATAACTATACTAATAATAACAACCATAATAATAATGACAATGATAATGATACTGATAATGATAATGATGATGATTATAACAATAATAACAATAACAGCAATAAAAATAACTGTTATGATAATGATAATAACCACAACTAAAAAAATAATGGTAATGTTTACTACTATTACAGTTAGTACTATCATCAAAACGTTTACCGTTAACATGACCATTTTCATCATTAGTATACACTACTTTCTGATATAATACCAATTTCACTGCAGTAATCATCACTTTGTCATCACACTAGTTAGCAAATATTATCATCAATCTAATCAACATCAGTTAGTCATCTTACCAACAGTTGCAACATCAATAATATCGGTATTTCTATTTAGGTTAAAATCAATCAAAGTTCAAGCTTAGAAGGTATTCCTCATTGTCAGTGTCAAGACCATGGACATAATGAGGGCCTTTCCTTATTAGTATGTTAGTATGTCATGTGACAACAGTTCTACGTAGGTTCAAGGGTAAAAGAGTTGGTTCCGTACATTCACACAGAGGGGGTTGGTGGGGAGGCAACTTAGTAGGATTACACTTGCCTGTTAGGACACTAGAGTATATAAAAGCTTTTTGACTTAAGTGTATTAGCCTCATCCCAAGCGGTGCTACTTCTACGCAGAGAGAGAGAGTGAGAGACAGAGACAGAGAGATCGATAGGACAGGTACAAAGCTTAATCCAGCTGTTAGGTCTGACTACAGTAGCAGAGTTTGAGGGTTTTTAAACTTTTTTTTAACCACAGCACAAAAAATGTGTTCACACAGCAAAGACACCCTGACCAGACTTTAGGGAAAGAGCAGGCTGTACCTTTCTCTTCTTGGGTGACATCTCCACCTCGTTCGTGTCCTTCTCATTGTTGACGATGATGTTCGCATTGACGTTGTTATCGTTCAGCACGCGGTCCTTAGTCTCCACCTGTTGCTGAAGACGCCAAATTCACAATGACCAACTGAATGCTGGGACTGGCTTTGCTTAATCTGAATGGTGCAGCTTGCCTACCAGAGATTCACAATCACTAGTGCAGGGTGTATTTGCCAAAGTCTCTAACTAGTTGGGGGGGGGCATAGACGTGCTTGATGAAGTATTTGATGCTAGCAAGTCTTACTAGTTTGCTACTTATAGAGATACAGAATTACTAGACATTTATGTTGAGACAAACATGAAGTTAAGACGCAGCATCTCAGCGCTCGACAAGTGTAGCACGAGTCACAAGGAGGAGCAGAAGTTTTATACAACAGAGAGACATAAGCAATGGGTTCTATGCTACTGTGGTCCAGCTACCCCACCAGCCCCACTCAAACCCCGGACCCCAATGATTCAC